TATCAAATAATTTGGTTGTTTGTAGGAAAATCTTTGTGTGTCTTAATATGTAGTACTTTATTGTAGATGGTTGATCTGCACCTGTAATCAGAAGATTAATGTCAATATCATTAATTTTTACTCGTCTTAATGCATCTTTTAATTTTGTTCTGTGAGAGTTGAATCTTGGGCAGTATAAAAACATGTGTTCTATGGTCTCTTCTTGGTTCTTGCACCATCTGCAGAAGGGGTCATTTTCCATTTTCATTCTGTAAAGATGTTGTTTTAGTCTTGTGTGTTTGGTTGTGAGTCTTGAGATGCATGTGTCTAGTTTTCTATATTTTGCTCTAGTCCATGGCTTTTCAGTGTTATCTTTGATGAGGTAATTTTTTGTACTTAGGATTCTTTTTAAGTTTGATTCCCATTGTTTGTTATTCTTTATCTTAATTTCTTTTATGATATAATTTGGATCTGGTGGTATAGACATGTGATTATTTATTTCATGGGCCTTCTTTGCCGCTAGGTCAACAATTTCATTTCCCTTAATGTTTTTGTGTGATGGAATCCACTGTATCTTAATCTCTTGTTTTCTTGTTGAGAGAAAGTGTATCTGTTTTTGTATTTCGTATGTGATTTGTTTATAATTTAGTGGTTTAGAGTTTTTTATTAATTGTAAGGATGATTGAGAGTCTGTTAGTATTATAGTTTTTGTCAGTTTATTATTTATTACATACTTTAGTCCTTGTTTTATGGCAAATAATTCTGCGTGTGTGATTTCTATTTTAGGAGGCAATTTCCAAATAGTTGTTATATTTTTGTTTTGGATGTAGATTGCTGCTGAAGTTGAATCTGGTTCTTTTATTTTTGATCCATCAGTGAAAATTCTGTTAAAGTCTTTATAATTCGTATTTATTAACTCCTGGAATTGTTTTTGGATGATTATTTGAGGAGTATTTTTTGTTATATTATTCATAAAGTCTATTTGTACATTTTCTGAAATATCATACCAAGGTGGTATTGGGGATATGTTTGGGATTTCATTTGGATTTATGTTTATATTTAGGTTTATTTTTGTTTCCGTAGCTCTGTATACTAGAGATCTTTTATCTCTTTGAGGATTATATTCATTTATGCAGTTTGTTATTTGTTGTTTTACTGGTGTCTTATTTGGTTTATTTAGAATTTTTGTTAGTTGAATGCATTCAAGTTCTTTTATTCTTTGTGATAAAGATGGGATGTTTGTTAATGCTTGAAGAGCTATTATTGGAGATGTTCTAAAACATCCTGTTGCCAGTCTTAAAATTTGGTTTTGTAGTGTTTCAAGTTTTTTTAAATCGGATTCCTTTGCTGCTCCATAAATTGTTGATCCATATTCAATTTTTGGTTTTATGTATATTTTATAGAACTTTAATAGAGTTTCTCTATTTGCTCCCCAATTTAGTGAAGTTAGTTTTTTCATTATGTTTATTCTATTTAAGATATCTACTTTTAGGTTTTCTAAATGTTTTTTCCATTTTAGTTTGGGGGCGTCTAAAGTTAGGCCTAAAATTTTATGGCTTAGAGTGTATTTGATTTCTATGTTATCTATTCTTATTTTTGGTAGTTGGTTTATCTTTTTATTTGAAAAGCACATTAGTTTACTTTTTGTGAAGTTTATTTTCAGGTCCCAGTGATTGGCCCAATCTTTTAATTTTTGTAGTTCTCTTTCTATTTTGTTTGATGCTTCTATTAAGTTTTTATTACTTGTTAATAAGGTTATATCATCTGCATATATAATCTTTTCAATTTCTTTTGATAATTTTAGATCATTTAGCATTATATTGAATAAAGTTGGGCTTATTGGTGAGCCTTGAGGTACTCCACTTTTTATTGTTCCTTTTTCGGAGGTTTGATTTCCAATTTTTATTTGGAAAGTTCTTTTTTCTAGTAAGTTATACAGCCATTTTAGGGGTTTTCCCGTGATGCCTAATTTCGACATTTTTATTAGAAGTGCTTCGTGGTTGACTGTGTCGAAAGCTTTTTCTAAATCAATGCATGCTACAATTATATATTTTTTGTCTATGAATGCTTTGTTTATGTGGCTATCAATTGTATGTAGTGCATCAATGGTACTTTTATTAGGTCTGAATCCAGTTAGGTCTACATCTAGCTTATCATTGTGTTCTAGCCACCATATTAATCTTTTGGTTATTATATTTTCGAATATCTTTCCAATACATGAGATTCTGCTTATGAATCTGTAAGAGTTTGATTCTGAAGGGTTTTTACCCGGTTTTAATATGGGGTTTATTATGGCATTTTTTAGTGATTCTGGGTATTCTCCTTTAATCCAGTATGAATTGATATTGGTTAGGATTGCCTCTAGTATATTGTTTGGAGCATTCTTATAAAATTCATATGTCATTTCGTCTGGTCCGTATGCTTTATTGTTTTTGGCACTATTAATTGCTGCTCTTAATTCTATGAGGGTTATTTCTTTATTTATTTCATTAGTGTTCTTTAAGTTGAATGATCTTTCTTTTTCTAATTCTGACATAAGTTTTTTGGGATTTTTGCTTACTGTTTCCATATATTCTTTTTTGAATTTGTCTAATTTTTGTGCAATTTCTGTTAATGGCAGATCATTTTCAATTAATGGATATTCCATTGTAGTTATTTTTCCTGTTTGTTTCTTTAGGAAATTCCAAATCATTTTAGGTGAGGTTTTAAAATCTAATGTTGCACAAAACTTTTCCCATGATTCCCTTTTTGTTTGTGTTATTTTAAGTCTAGCTTTTGCTAATAGTTTCTTATATTCTTTTTGGTTTATTAATGTTGGCTTTTTTCTCCATTTGTTATAGGCTTTGTTTTTTTCTTTTATAATATCATTGCATTCTTTATTCCACCATGGTTTATTTGGTTTATCTTTGTATTTCCGTGTTTCTAATTTAAAATATTTTAAGGCCGTGTTTTTTATAATCTCTGAAATTTCTTTGAGTGAGGTTAGATTTCCTGTTTCTATGCTGTTTAAATCTTGTTGAATGTCCCTCCACCCTTCTTTTGTATATTGCCACTTTTTTTCTTTTAGTAGGTTATTATCTATGTATGAATTATCATTTATTATTATTGGTAAGTGGTCACTGTCTAAATGAAAAGCTGTTTTTAGTTGGATATGACTTAGGGTTGGAGAACCAAATATTAGATCTAAGGTTGATTCTTTGGCTGTTTTAGGGTCTATTCTAGTTATTTGATTTTTTGGGGTTAGCATTATTAGATTGTTTTGACTGATCCATTTTATTATGTTTTTGCCTGTTGCATTAATTTGTCTATTACTTATGTTTTCATTCCAATAAGGATGATGAGCATTAAAGTCTCCCATTATTAATTTTGGATCTGTAATTTGCTCTGAGTAATATTGTAGTTCTTCTGTTTTTATATCATTACATGGGTTGTATATTATTAATATATTAAGCCATTTTCTTTTATAGTTTATTTTTATTCCTAAGGTTTCTAATTTTTCCCTATGTATATCTCTTAGATTTATTTCTTTAAACTGTACATCGTTTTTGATGCATATGGCTAAGCCTCCTCCTACTTGGTTTACTCGGTCTTTCCTGATTATTGTGTAATTATTTAGAGTAAATTTATCTTTTTCTTTTAACCATGTTTCTGTTATGGCTATTATATTTGGGTTTTCTTTAAAAATTAAATAATTTAGGTTAGTTTTCTTGTTTAACACAGATCTTGCATTCCACAATATTAAGTTTTTCATATTGCCTTTAGCATGTTGCTAATCTCGTTTATCACATCCATTATGTTTTGTATTATTGGTTTATCCGAGTTTAAATTGTTTATTATTTTTGTTATTATTTTAAATATATTTGAGGCTAATTTTATCCAAGAGAAATCCTCTTCATTTTTTTCATTGTTATCATCATTTGTGGTATCTTTGTGGGTTAGTGGGGTTGGTAGTGACCAAGTAACTGGTGAATTTAGTGTGTCTTTTTGTTTGTTGTTTGTTTTGGATTTTTCTTTTTCACATTGTGTTTGTTCGTTTTCGTCAAAACATGTAGTTTGTTGTGTGGTGTTTGGAGTTCTTATCTTCTTTCTGTTTGGAGTTAGGTTATTTGTTCTGTTTGGGGTTCTTTGACCTAAAGTGAGGCTTTGTGGTTCTGTTAATTTCTGTGCATATGTTTGTGTTCTGTTTTCTTCTGTAGGTTGAGGTGTTGTGGTTACTTGAACTTCTTGTGTGTTATTTGTTTGTGTAAACATATTTGGTTGTTGTGTTTCACTACTTATGTTTTTTGTTATTGGTTTTAGTTGTTGCAACTGTTTTTTTATCTCTAAGTTATTTGGTGTTATATTTTCTTTGTTTATTTCTTGAGCTAACTTATGGACTGTGCATTCATTTGTGTTTGGTGCATGATTATCATCACAGTAAAAACAATGAGAGTTATTAGGGCAATCTTTATAATTATGTCCATATTGGCTACAGTTATTGCATCTTTTTTTATTTTTGCAAGTTACCGTCCCATGTCCATACCTTAAACAATTGTAACATTTTAATATTGGGAAAGTGTACTGCCTCACTTGGTAGCTTGTATGGCCAATTGCTACTCTTTTGGGTAATGCTCCTCTAAAAGTTATTCTTAAGGATTTGGTGGGAACCCATTTTTCTTCACTTTTTTTGTCATTATTTTGTTTTTTTAATCTTATTATTTCAGTAATTTCATTAGACTCATATCCTAAGGTTCTTATCTTTTCTTTGATATTTTCCATGTTGAGGTCGGTTTCTACTGGGAAAATTGTTCCATAGGAACAGTTTGTATATTTGTTTGAAGTTGGTTGCTTACAAACTACTTCCCATTCTCCAAGTTTGTTTATTTGATTTAATGGCCTTATTTTTTTTATATCTTTGATTTCGAATCTGAGAGCTTTTCCTGCTCCTAGTACTCTTAGTGAGTCCTCAATTAAGTATTTCTGGAACTCTGATTTGTTGATTGCATTAGTTAATTTTAGTGGGTTGTTGAAGTTTGTATTTG